GCGACCCGCGTTGTTCGCCGTGTCGGTGTCAGTAAACTCTGAGCTGTGTTTATGGAAACATTACAGTGCTGCGCAGATCGGTCTGCAGTGAACCTTTCCGGGTTGCTTTGCGTCAAAACGTTCAAGACTATCTGCTGCGCAACGGCCATGCATCAGAGTGGAGCTGCCTGGCTGTAAAACTCTGTTGTCTTCTTGTAGTGCAATGCAATTATCGCCCCTCATTACACCACAGCTAAAGCTGTGGAAGATTTCTGATGTTTTCTAGTTTTATTTGGTTGACATAGTCAGTAAATTAAGCCTCTTATGTCGTATGTTTATATTATTCTCTTTCCTGACATTTCGTTTTCTCTGCCGTTAAAATGTGTGGTAAACATTTTTTAAATGTACGCGATGTAGACGCCCAGTATAGTTTCAAAAGACCAGGGCGCCACAGCCCACCAAACTCATTGACACAATCGAGTCATATATTATTTAACAGATAATCACAAGATTAAAACTTTAAGCCAAAAACAGTCTCTTTAGCTTTTCCCTAATCACCAACTGTGGGTTTGGTCGAAATAAAAATCCTTTGGTAACGGAGTTAGATAGAAAATAAGTGCTGACACCCACTAAAGTGAGGCCTAAATGCCTCGAGGACAAAATGTTTGACCTGTAACTTGTTTTTGGTTGTGCGCAACTGACAGCCAGGTTGTTTATGTGTCAGGTGTGCTTGACAAGCATTAGAAAGTGATCCCTACAGAGATAAACCTTAGTCTCTCAAAACCACAAACAGCCGTAATATCACTATTCACTCTCCACCAGACTCCAGAGACAAACCACTCATTTTACCTTCAAGATCATCGTAACTCGTAAAAAGATACACTTTTGGGCCTCGATATATTCATGTGTCTCCATAATCTTAATCTAGTACTCTTATATTAATATAGTAATTATACATATTACATTATACCTGTTGTTCATGTCTTGCATATTCTGTTTCACTTTACTCATTTTGTTATGAGGCTTCTTCGTGCTTCTGTTGATATCAGCTGAAACTTCATCTGTTGGATCTGAGCCCTTACTTAAATTCTTACGATTCTTTAAATCTTTTTTTAGTCAGCTCGTGGACTACCCGGGGTTTCAAGGCCAATTAAATCCGCGCTCCTTCTGGGGCTTCGCGTCCGTTATTTGGGTTCCCACCACTGCTGGGAGTCCAGTCCGCGCGAGTTAACTTAGGTGTCGGTCTCGACTGGTCTGCTTTGGCACATCAGGTCCTGATCCAGTAAATGAAACTTCAGTGACTTTGCAAGCCGGATGATGGAGTGCTTTTCTGACACAGCGGCCATCGGCTTGGTTATTTATTGTTGATTAATAGAACCAAGATCCAGATCCTGCTCATTAATCAGTGAGCTTGTATTTCTGAACTTTTGGACAGAGGCAGGCTAGCTGGTTTCCATTTTGTTTACAGTATTTATGCTAAGGCTAGGCTAACCACATCCTGACTCCAGCTCTATACGAGAGGAAAATAAATAGAAAAGGGATGTGGGCTGTTGCACGATTTTATTTTTCGAGTCTTCTTACTTTTAGGAACGGGGTCGACGAGAGCGAATTTTAATTGGTTGCCTCGTAAAAAATAATGATATTTTATATAATATATAATGTATTGATTATATGTATATATATTATTCATACATATTAGTCAGTATATATATATATATATACATAATTATTCTCCAGCAAAGAGAAAGATTCTTTTTAGAGGTTTTAGGACCCGTTCTCTGATTTTTATTTTGTTTTGAAAGTACGAGAGACGAGGTTTGACGAACCCAGCTTTTATTCCCCGTCCAACAGCACTTTTCTCATTGTGGGTTAGCGTGTGTTTGACTATTGTCACTGTTTTAGGAATTATGTGTCTCAGCTGCTTTAAGGCCTCACCAGTCTCCACTCATTTACTCTCACGTTTCCTTTGTTCAACTGTTTTTTTCTGAGACCTAAATACAGTGAGTTAAAGCGCTGAAGAGGAAGTAGTATTGTTAGGCTGAAGGAGTTTCCCTTTGAACAGGAAGTGGAACATGTGAAGTAATCAGCAGTTACACCTCATATTAAAGCCAGCAGGAGGGAGTCTTCTGTCTCTCAGGTGAGTTTTCTGGTCGACGTTCAGCTGTAATGACTCTCGTAGGTGCAGGAAATTTCCCTGCTGATGAGATTTACCACTGAGTCAAACAGCAACACGTCTCCTGGGACAAACCTGAGCCAAACACCTGAACCTGCAGGTGAAACCTGAAGCTGTGAGGACTCCTTCACCATCAGACACCTTCACACGTCATTTATTCATGAAGGGACGATTCCAGCCTGGAAAATCCTCAACGTGGTGGAGTGACGCTCTGGTCACACAGTCTGAACACTTTAAATCAGACTAACAGTTTAAATCAGACTAACACATCCATATATTCAAAAAATCTTGACAGTATTTTCTGTTTGATAATGATGATGATTTTCCACTTTTCTATCAACTGCTGTGTGTGTGTGTGTGTGTGTGTGTCAGGTTTTAACCTCAACATTTAATAGAGGCGCTGCCACACTGACAACATCACTGCAGGGCAACATACAACTCAAACACACAAACAAACACACACACACATACACACACACTCTGCAGTATTAATAAATTGACTCTTTTCTCAGTCTGTTTGAGACTTTAATTGGACGTAATGTTGATTGAAGAAGGTCTGTAGCAGCCATTGTAAAGGCCAGTGTTTGCTGAAGGTGTTTCTCTGTGTGTTCAGGACGACTGGTTGCAGTGTGTGTGTGTGTGTGTGTGTGTGTGTGTGTGTGTGTCTAGTGTACACTGTAGATTTTAAAGGTGACCTTAAAGAGCTGAACAAATACAAAGTGGGTCAAAAGCTGAGGGTGATGGAAATTCCTGTCAGGAAGTGGAGCTTGTGTTAGTGATCTGAATGATGAACAGTCTGGACCAACCGATCCTCCAGGAGACACTGCGCACCAGAGCTCTGCTTTTATCACAGCGTCGGTTCACCTAAATCACAGAATAACAACTCTTCCCTCGGCTTGTGTCGCTGCAGTCCGATAGTATATATCTGTTTAAGTTTTGTGATTTTCCGCCTGCACCGGCCTCTATTCCAACCCGTCAACACATACATGCATCAGCGTTCAGTGGTTAAACCGCCCGACCTTAAAACCCCTGATTTTAGAATGGAGTATGGTTTAACGGGTTGAACTGTACCGTTTACTGACAGTGTAAGACAGTTAGCCTAATTTAAACTCATAAGCAAGCTTTATTTTGAAAATCTATCTGGACCTTGCATATTGATTACTGCTAACTAACAGCAGGTTACACTGAGAATGACGGCTGAATTTGAACTTTTTGTGTGTGTAGTTTTAATTTTAGACTTTTATGTTAATTTCCATGGTTACTCAGCGTGAACCATATTTTACTGTGACACTGACTCTTGTTATACAAAGACAGGAGGACATTGACACAGTGAGGATACAGTAAAATAAAACAATACAAAAACAGTAGATTACAGATTTAACAGGAAGTGAAACAGTGAACACTGACTTTAGTAGGGATTTTCCTGTTGGCTTTGAAAGCTTTTGTCTCAGTTTAGTTTCTGGTGTCACAGTTATAAAGGAACCACACCCAGACTGCCACGGATCACTTTACACACACACACACATTTAAAGACACAGCAGTTCTCTGTTGATTCTTCAGTTCAATCTGAACTCTGACACACATTTCCCTTCATTATTATTATCCCATCATTAGTGTACAGGATTATACAGCCGGCCTCTGAAAGCTTCTCCGAAATGTCACTAATAGCTAAATGTTGTTTAGACCAAAGCAAAGTTATGTGTGTCGCCTCTCGCCCAGTTGTCAGCTGGGACAAATGGGTAGATGTAAAATGGAGAAAGAAATTCTCTATAAACTGAATTTTATTGTTCATACAGAGATGTAGATGATGATGATGATGATGATGATGATGATGATGATGATGATGATGAGGGTCCTCCTGTGTGTCTGCCTGCAGGTTATGACTTTGCGGAGGTCCTGCGTTGGTTCGGCGAGCGGGTGGACCGGATCATTCTGCTGTTCGACGCTCACAAACTCGACATCTCCGACGAGTTCTCCGAGGCCATCAGAGCCTTCAAAGGACAGGACGACAAGATCCGCGTCGTCCTCAACAAAGCCGACCAGGTAGGACGACGAAAGGTTCAGTCAACGGCTTTGTCACAGCTAGAAAAAGATAAAATGACTTCCTGTTCCTCACCTGTGCTCTCAGGTGGACACGCAGCAGCTGATGCGTGTGTACGGCGCCCTCATGTGGTCACTGGGCAAAGTGATCAACACTCCAGAGGTGGTGAGAGTTTATCTGGGATCCTTCTGGGCCAAACCCCTGCAGAACACAGAGAACAGGTCAGAGAACTGTTCACTCACTCATTCATTCACTCACTCATTCATTCATTCACTCACTAATTCATTCACTCACTTATTCATTCATTCATTCATATAGCACAGTATAACATTGTACATTTATTAATTCAAACCCCTGCAGAACACGAAGAACTGCTCATTCACTCATTCATTCATTCACTCATTCATATACTCACTGATTCACTTACTCATTTATTAATTTATTCATTCATTCACTCATTCATATACTCACTGATTCACTCACTCATTCATTCATTCACTCACTGATTCATATAATCACTGATTCATTCACTTGCTCATTTATTCAGTCATTCACTCATTCATATACTCACTGATTCACTTACTCACTCATTTATTTATTCACTCATTCATTCACTCACTTATTCATTCTTTCATATAGCACAGTATAACATTGTACTTTTATTAATTCAAACCCCTGCAGAACAGAAAGAACTGTTCATTCACTCATTCATTTATTCACTCATTCATTTATTCACTTATTAATTTACTCACTCATTCATTCATTTATTGATCATCTTACTCCTTTATTCATTCATTCACTCATTCATATACTCACTGATTCACTTCCTCACTCATTTATTAATTCATTCACTCACTCATTTATTCACTCACTCATTCATTTACTCATTCATTCACTCACTTATTCATTCACTCACTTATTCACTTATTCATTCGTTCATACATATAGTACGGTACAGCATTGTACATTTACTAATTCAAACCCCTGCAGAACACAAAGAACGGTTCATTCACTCATTCATTCCTCATCATGTCACTCCATTCACTCATTCATTCAGTCACTCATTCACTCACTCATATATTCACTCATTCATTCATATAGCGAGACATTTACTAATTCCCTGCAGAACTTAAAGAACAACACTGTTTTAATCATTCGTGTATGTATTAATTTAAAATAATACAACACTGTTTATTAATTAATCCATTCACTCACTCATTCATTAATTAAATAATAAAGCAGCCCACGATACAGCCCTGTTTAATTCATTCATTCATTTATTAATTCAGACCCCTGCAGAACTCCAAGAACAGGTCAGAGAACAATACTGTTCACTCAGTGTTTTAATCATTCATTCAGCCATTCACTCGTTCATTCATTCATGTATTCATTTAAAAGAACAGGATACACTGCTGTTTATTAATTATTCATTAGCCATTCATTCATTTTTCAGGTAAGAATACAGTGGTGTTCATTCATTCATTTATTTTGTTATTTAATTGAACAGGAAACATTCATTCATTCATTTACTCATTTGGTAGGACAAGTTAAGTTACCATTTATTCATCCATTCATTCACTCATTCATTTAGTCATTTATTTACTCACTCATTTTGCAGGCCAGGACACAATAACATTCATTCATTAATTTTTTTTAATCATTTAAATTACTTGTCCATTCACTTGTTCATTATTTTGTTCATCCATTCAGTGTTCTTCTTTTCATTTAGTCATACATTCACTCATTCCATAATCCATTCATCCATTCATTCATTCATTTGATTACTAATTTCTAAATTAATTCTTTCATGATTAAGTTTGTTCTAAAGCCAATCACTATCATTTTTGTATATCATTCACTCATTCACTTCCTCCTCAGGCGTCTGTTTGAGGCGGAGTCTCAGGACCTCTTCAGGGACATCCAGAGTCTCCCGAGAAACGCAGCCCTCCGTAAACTCAACGACCTCATCAAGAGAGCGAGGCTGGCCAAGGTGAGACAGGAAATGACATGTTGCGGTTGGAGTTAACCCGAGTTAACCCGGGTTAAACCTCCCGGTGTGAACAGTTTGGTTTGGTCCTGGCATTCTGGGAATATCCTGGAACGTTCGGTTGTGTATCCCAGGCAGAAAAAGTCAGGAAATTTGACCGCTCTCTGGAGAATTCAGACAATTTGTGTCAAACAGGATGTGTTTTAGCCTAGCTTAGCACTAAGACTAGAAGTCAAGGGAAACTGTTAGCATAGCTCCATCAGAAGAAGATAAATACACTGTGGGTTTTATTTTGAAGGAATGAAAAGCAGCTTCTTCTTTCTGATAATTATAAAGCAGAAGTGAAACTAAAATTAAAGCTTCAGTGGAAAACGAATCCTGACTCACACTCGGTTCCTCGCTGTGTTCAAACTGATCCTGGAGCTGTGTTTAGAGCTTCCTGTGAGGCTCCATGAATCAGTGTTTGTGTTCGGAGGTCAACGTTGTTTACAACTCTGTTTACAACTCTGTTTACATCACTTCCTCCACTTTTCTTAACCCCCGTAACAGGTCAGCTAACAGCAGAAATCTCTATCTTCAGTCATTTAATCTGTTAGAGAAACACTGATGTGGGATTATTGATTATTGGACACATTTCCAATAACATAAAAAACAAACAATCAAGTTTCTGTTTCTGCAAACTTATCGAACATTCCTGATTAAAAAAAAAAAACAAGGAACGTTAAATATGAAACTAAATGACTGATGTTATTTCTGGCACACACACACACACTCACTCACACACACACACACACACACACACACACACCATCACCACACCACTCACACACACACACTCGTCTCACACACACACACTCTCACACACACACTCTGCTCACACAGCACGACACACACACTTGCTGTTCTTATCAGCCACTTGAAGTGGTTCCCGATTCAACCCAGACAAAACAGGAATCTGGGCAGTACACCACAGCACGACACACAACACACACAGCACCACACAACACACACACACACACGTTAGATTACCCAGCATTCCCAGTGCTGCTGGATGACCCTGAGTGACCTCTGCCCTTCTTAACTCCTCACTTTAATCCTGGACAGTTTCTCAGAGTTGTTGTGGTTCCTCCTCATTTATTTCCTGTTGTATTGGACGGAGAATAAGATCCTTATACTGAAGCCTCAAAGGGCATTATCCCCTTTATACCACGGGCAAACACGTCTTTTATTTTATTTTCTATTTTTTT